TCATAATAATGTGATGACGTTAATCATGTGGCGAGTTAAATAGTCAGGTGATTAACGATATTATAATCTCCATACAGCCCAAGGTTCACTATACTTGGAGCTGTGATTTGTAAAGGATTCTATGAATCAATTACAATGTTTGTATTATTTTATATATAATTTAAAACTCTAATCAAAGAATTTAGTATAATGAAATGCAATATGGGTTGCATATGTAATAGTAAATTTAAGTAAAGAAATTAAGTTATTTAATTGATATATTTATTTATTTTATTTCTATTTATGTATGTAAATTATTTTATGAAAAGTGGAAAAAAGTTCAACTAGTACACCTAATATGACATTAATGTAGTGAAAAGATTAAGTAGCCTAATTCTGCAATATTAAAGCATGATATATCTGGCTCAAGTTACTTATGTCAGTTCTCTTATTCAATGCATTAGGATGTTTTAATATTGAACACATTTCCAAAAACTGTCTTTTCGCTAGATTGCGTTCAGTGGCAAGAATCTTAACTTCATTAAAATCCACTTCATGTTTTGTATTTATCGCATGTTGTGCTAGAGCACAAGTGTGTTTCGATAAGTTAATGTCGCTACGATGTGAAGTGAGACGACCTTTCAATGATCTACCAGATTGCCCAATGTAACAAAGATCGCAATTAGCGCATGGAATTTTATAAATTGTGTTCACTTGTTCCAAAGTGGACAAGGGTGTTTTAGTTTTAGAGAACAAATTTCTAACAGTTTTTGCATTCTTAACAGCAATTTTAACAGGTATATTATTTTGTTTATACAATTTAATAAGCTTCTCAGTAACTTGAGGGAAATATGGTAAGGAAGAGTAATGCGTGATAGTATTCTCAAGATCGGTATTATGCAGAACAGTGCTATTTATAGAATTATTAGAGATGTTTAAGTTGGTCACCATCGGGTATGTCATAAATTGAGGATCCATAACTATGTGAATAAAGGTATTTATTGATGATAGAGGAAGGATATGAATTCTCTATTAGAATATTTCTCAATAACTTAAAGGATTCCCTTCGATTAATTGGATGTGTCAATTTATTTAATCTAAAGCTTAAAGCTTTTATCAGGTTTAGTTTATATTTCATAGGATGACAGGAATGGTAGTTAAGGAACCTATTAGAGGCCATTGATTTTCTATACCAACTTGTGGTTAGAGTGTTATCTGCCATTCTGATGACACGCATGTCAAGGAAGGGTATACTATTGGTGGTAGTGTCCTCAAGTTCAACAGTGAACTGTAAATGAGGATCAAACTCATTAAAGTGGGAAAGGGTACCCTGAACCTTGTCAGGTGGTAGGGCTAATAATGAAATATAAACTAAACCTGATAAAAGCTTTAAGCTTTAGATTAAATAAATTGACACATCCAATTAATCGAAGGGAATCCTTTAAGTTATTGAGAAATATTCTAATAGAGAATTCATATCCTTCCTCTATCATCAATAAATACCTTTATTCACATAGTTATGGATCCTCAATTTATGACATACCCGATGGTGACCAACTTATAAACATCTCTAATAATTCTATAAATAGCACTGTTCTGCATAATACCGATCTTGAGAATACTATCACGCATTACTCTTCCTTACCATATTTCCCTCAAGTTACTGAGAAGCTTATTAAATTGTATAAACAAAATAATATACCTGTTAAAATTGCTGTTAAGAATGCAAAAACTGTTAGAAATTTGTTCTCTAAAACTAAAACACCCTTGTCCACTTTGGAACAAGTGAACACAATTTATAAAATTCCATGCGCTAATTGCGATCTTTGTTACATTGGGCAATCTGGTAGATCATTGAAAGGTCGTCTCACTTCACATCGTAGCGACATTAACTTATCGAAACACACTTGTGCTCTAGCACAACATGCGATAAATACAAAACATGAAGTGGATTTTAATGAAGTTAAGATTCTTGCCACTGAACGCAATCTAGCGAAAAGACAGTTTTTGGAAATGTGTTCAATATTAAAACATCCTAATGCATTGAATAAGAGAACTGACATAAGTAACTTGAGCCAGATATATCATGCTTTAATATTGCAGAATTAGGCTACTTAATCTTTTCACTACATTAATGTCATATTAGGTGTACTAGTTGAACTTTTTTCCACTTTTCATAAAATAATTTACATACATAAATAGAAATAAAATAAATAAATATATCAATTAAATAACTTAATTTCTTTACTTAAATTTACTATTACATATGCAACCCATATTGCATTTCATTATACTAAATTCTTTGATTAGAGTTTTAAATTATATATAAAATAATACAAACATTGTAATTGATTCATAGAATCCTTTACAAATCACAGCTCCAAGTATAGTGAACCTTGGGCTGTATGGAGATTATAATATCGTTAATCACCTGACTATTTAACTCGCCACATGATTAACGTCATCACATTATTATGAGTTTGAATGCAAATCTCCGGTTTGTAAATTTGGGCCGGTTAGTGAGGGGAGTTGTGTTTACACTACCAACTTTTTTCACTGTTGTTGTCCTTTACAACCTGGAAGTCATCCAGACTCAGTTATAAAATATATAAATTAAATTAACCGCCCAAAATTCTGGGTTGGTATTTACACCTTGCTGATCTGTCAAAAGTAATTTTGACCTCAAGGTTGGCTGTCTTTTTGCGGTTAGTTCGTTCCTGTTTCATCTAACGCCATTTTCACGGCGACATCCACAAGGCTTTGATCGGTAACTTCATATTCACTATTTTGTAGAATTTTATTAATATTACTTATAATGCTACCTAAAGTTAAAATCAAAGTTTAATATCCATTAAATAGTTGGAGGTTATTTATGATTTTCTTGGTTCTTTCTCACTTATTAATATAAATAACATTGAATTTATTTTGGACCACATGGTCAATTGCTGTGCTAATTTTTGTACAAGTTCATATATGTTGTTAGTTGCTTAACTGTTTATACAAGATCAGCGTACTATGTCCATTTACTTAGTTTCATTCACATATTTGTTAATAACATTGACTGCTACATATCTTTTTAAGGTAACAATTAACATCGTTTCCATGATTGTGTGGTTCTCATATTGTAATAATTTTTTAGATGAACTGATGATGCTTTCAAAACTCGAAAGCGAAACGTCTTCAAAATAGATAAAGTAGCCTATCAACTTTGTCTTTTATTTCTCCACCTAGAGACCGATATAAGAACCCACCACTCGTCTGAGTGATCCTTATATATATATTGGATTGACGGTCGTACTCCTTTTTCCGATATATATATATATATATATATATATATATATATATATATATATAAAACCTAGAGCTAAGATTAATATTATTACTAAAATTAATATTAAATTCACCAGTCTTCCGGGTTGAACCGCGTCGTAATCCATTTTGCCAAGCTTTCGGCATCCTCTCTGATGCTTTCCTCAGGGCTTCCGAGGTCTCAGTCTCCCGAGCCCCCAGACACTACTACACTGTTCACGATTCACGGCACGATCACTACTGATATATATATATATATATATATATATAATATATATATATATATATATATATATATATATATATATACAAAACTGAAATATTTGGGTGTGCAGCGGAAAATAGAACAAAGAAGTACTCTTTTTAGTTTACCAAGCTTTCGAAAATCTTTATTTGCATCATCAGGGTGCTACAATAAACAATAAACAGAATTAGTACAAATTGCAGAGTAATAATTACTTTGCATCATCACTAATTGAGGTTAGTTGTCGTGATGTTTATCAAATAAAATGGGCAACTCAATTCACCCCTACAAATGATGGCGATAACTATCCAAAATTGATTTTAAAAAACGTTCTTTAACATACATATTTAAAACACTTTAAAACACATATACATAAACATTTAAATAAAATTATGTTAAAATAATAACAAAGCATGTACGTAGTCACAATATAAAATTTAGGTTATAAATATTCTTATCAGAAACAAAAGAATTGTTTGTGAATTCGTTGCTACCAACTTAAAACGACAGAACGTTAGATCTTAAATGATAATGATAACAACTTACATCGGTAAAACTGGTAGAAATTTTAATAAACGAATAGCAGAACATAAAAGGGCTTTTATGTTCTGCTATTCTATATAATATTTCTATTATACTAATAGAAAATCAGATTCTACATACGCACTTCACCTTCTTTTAATGACGAATTTCAAATTATTCACATTCACAATAAAGACCTTAAGCTATCTTTGTTAGAATCTATGGAAATTAAAAAATTAAAAAACACAGATATAATTCTAAATGACTAATTTGAGATAAACAGTTCTCCACTCCTCAACCTATTTCATTAAAGACTATAAAGTGTAAACGCATGCCAAAAATAGATCACTTGAGAGAGGCACTCTGCCGAAACAGCTGTAGTAATAAGATTTTATAATAAATTTTGTGGAAGTTTTGAAAACAAAATTTTCAGTATTTTATTGTTACATAAAATGAATTTCCATCAAGTAACGGTCGAATCCATCAAATATATTTGAACTCGAAAAATTATATTAAATCGAAGAACAAATGTTAACTCGGTTTATGTTCTGCTTATTGGGGTAAACCGCTCGTCTATAAGTATTGTGGTAGTGATACAACTTAAAAGCTGATGACTCTAGTTCTTTAAATGGCGAAATTCAATTTTGAATTTTTGATTAGTCAAGTTGGTCATAAAATATCTAAGAAATACTCTCCATTAAGGGACACAATACCTATACAGAAACGACTAACTGTTACTGTTAGGTTTTAGCCACAGGAGAATTTTACCACAGTTTGATGTATTTAGTGTACACAATTTGGCTTTGGTATGAGGAATGAATCTAGTGAATATTTCACTTCAAATGAAGGAAAACTGTCAAGACAGAGATACATTTTGATTTATTTTAGTTTTTAAATAAAGAAATATGTGTGTATGTTTCTACTATAGGGGTTTTATATGTTACAGGATTTTACTATGGGTATTAATTGCGAAAAATGCCTCCCAGGATATTATCGACCCACTAACACCCCACCTGACGCGGAAAAACCTTGTGTCCAGTGTAACTGCGAGGTCTCTGGTGCTGCTAGTACTTGCGTACAATATGGAGAGACAGCTGGAAAATGTAGGTGTAAGGAAGGTTATACTGGAGAGAAATGTGAAACCTGCGATATTGGTTATACAGGGTTTCCCGACTGTCAACCATGCCCTTGTGATGCCAAAGGAGTTAAAGGAATCGACAAATGCGAAGAAGGATGTATTTGTAAGGTAAGAATTTGTATTTATGAAATCGCGGTGACTAATTAACAATATACTTACGTACTTACTCCGTGGCGTTACAACCCTTCGTGAGTTTTAGCCGACTCGACAACATGCCTTCACTGTTTTCTGTCTTGAGCAACCTCCATTCAATTTTTCACGCCCATAGTGCTTAGGTCTCCTGCTATATTATCTCGCCAGCGGAGACGAAGGCGTCACCGTGGTCTCCTTCTAGTTGGGACATCCTTCCACACCAGTCTTACTGTTTGTTCGTCAGAATTTCTTCTGAGGTGTCCTGCCCATTGGACATTGGATGGTAGCGTCTGGGTAAAGATCTTCAAGCTCTTTGTTAGTTCTTATCCTATATTGTCCTGATGCTTTATCCAGCACAGGACCAAAGATCTTCCTTAGGATTTTTAGCTTTCCCAAACACATAGTTTCTCTTCGTTTGCCTTTGTTATCGTCCACGTTTCGCTTCCATACATCACAAAGGGTCGTATGATTGTTTTATAGAACTGTATCTTCGTACGTCTTGTTAGTTGTTTCGATTTTATAAGGTTTTGGAGGGCAAAAATACATATATTGTCGGTCTGAATCCTGTTGTTTATTTCTTGTGATCCGTTATTGTCTTCAGTTATTGTTGTTCCAAGATACTTGAATTCTCTAACGCGCTCAAAGTTAAAGTCATCGATGGTGATGTTCTGACCCACTATGTCTTTGCTTTGGTTATTGCGGCTCATATACATATATCCTTTTGTTTTCGTTGATTTGGAGCCCCATCTTCTTTGCTTCTTTCTCGAACCTCACGAAAGTCTCCTTCATCCTTAATTGTGTTTCCTATTAGATCGATATCGTCTGCAAATGCCAGTAGTAAGTTTGGTCCTTCTCGATGAAATACTGTATTCGGTTTTTCGATTCTTGCACTTCTGATTATGTGCTCCAGAGCTAAGTTGAAGAGTTGTGGTGAAAGTACATTTCCCTGTTTTAGTCCATTGTTTATTTCAAATGTCTCTGAGTATTGTTGTCTAAATCTCACCTTAAATCGTAACCGTTCCATACACATCCGTATCAACCTGACTAGTTTTTTTGGAAAGCCAAGTTCCTACATCGCTGTTCACAGTCTGTCCCTGCATACTCTATCAAATGCTAGTTTAAAATCTATGAACATCTGATGAAGCTCACGATCAAACTCCCAGCATTTTTCCATTATCTGTTTTATTGTGAACATCTGGTCAATAGTAGAGCGGCCCGGTCTAAATCCGCATATGCGAAATTAACAATATGCGGATGAAGTAATATTAATGGCAAAATCTATATTATATAAATAAATTTCTTGTATCCATCAACAAGTCAACCATTGGCTTGCAAATCATAGGTTTCAATAAAATTGTTCATCATGAAATACAAGTACTTGAGCACTTATACTAACAGCAATCAGATCATGAATTTAGATTACACTTAGATCACTTTTTAGAAGGAAATTAATCTTTAGCAATAAAATTCTAAATGTAAACCTCTCAACCTACAGTTTATGAAATTTTTATTCACGTTTTAAACTTTTTTTATTTTTAGGAAAATGTTGAGGGCAAATATTGTGATAAATGCAAATCAGGCTATTTTGGATTAAGAAATGACATCGAAGAGGGCTGTCTACCGTGCTTCTGTTCTCAAGTAACAACTCTATGTGAATCGGCATTAATTAAGCAACAAACAGTAAGTGCAAGTAATACTTAACCATTTTACATTGTGTATATTTTACGCCTAATTAGTTTTAAATGAAAGTTTGTTACCATCGAACGACCCATCAGAAACAGTGGGTTGGGTGCCAATAGATAACATATGACTACCTCCGAACGTTGGGAGATAGTTTAAAACAATAAACCTCACAACTTTTTTGGGTGCCAATTGTTAGGCTCCATCTAGCTCAGTATTTTATGCGTAAGAACGTCTTATCTTAAAAGTAAATGTGAAAATGAGTTTGGCAGTGACAGATAAACTAAGATATTAACTAATTATATTTATTATGCATAAATAAAAGATAAAAGTGAAATTTTAATATTAAATTAAAAACAACACAGCAAATCCTGCCTACAGCTGTACAAAAAAATTATAAAATGATACTTATGGCAAATATTGCTGTCTTTAAGTAGTTGGACAGTTCTTGGTTGGTCCTAAGATAATCAAATTTGGGCGAATTGATTTAAATGGCAGCTTACTATTTTTTATTGGGAATATGCCACAATTTTAATTTAAAATTTTGATTTCCACTTCGGAAATCGTTTTATATAAATAGAATTTATTAGTGTTTCGTGTTTTAAGTACGATTTCCGAATTAGAAATCTAAACATTAAAATAAGCTTATTTTGAAGTCACATTGTGCCTTATTCCCAATACAAATAATAAACTGCATTATGGCGCCACAATAAAAATGCTTCATACAAAATTATTTGGCAACGTCGCGTCGTCAAAGTAACGGCACTTTGATTTTAATACTATGATAACAATCAGAACAGAACTATTTTGGAATAATATGCTTATTAAATGGCTTAGTAAGTTGGTCTTTGATAAAGCATAATAAATAAAGACAGTACTAGTAAAGAATTAGAAAGGAGTAGGTGTTTTATATTAAATTTAAACTGGACGTAAAATTACGTTTTAATTTTAAATAAAAATAAGATATTATTTGGTATTTTCCAAATAATATCTTTGAAACCATATTTTCGTTTAGATTTTTTGGATGTAGTAGGTGTAAAAATAAAAATTAATTATATAAAAATGAAATAAAAAAAAATAAAATTGGTATAAAAGTATTAAATTTGTTCTATTAAAATGAAATCAAATAAAAAATAATTCCAACACTACTGTTTAACTTAAAGGTTCTGCATGTATTAGACATGCAGTGTTTCATAAGAGATAGTGTGTCTTGGGAGATTTGATGTTTGGAGTCCAAGATAGAAATGGTTTTATCGATAGGAATATTAGATATACTAGTTAGTTTTGACATTGTTTCTTTGTTCACCAATATTCCTATCGATGAAACCATTTCCATCTTGGACTCCAAACATCAAATCCCCCAAGACACACTATCTCTTATAAAACACTGCATGTCTAATACATACTTTTCATTCCAAAATCATTTCTATCGTCAAATCAAAGGTGCCCCAATGGGATCTCCCCTCTCTCCCGTAATAGCTGATATTTTCATGGAACATTTCGAAACAGCAGCCCTGTCCTCATAAAATCTTAAACCCACCTGCTGGTTACGGTATGTTGATGACACTTTTGTCATTTGGCCTCATGGTAGGGACGAGTTAGATCTCTTCCTCTCCCACCTGAATGGAATACATCCTAGTATTCAATTCACTATGGAGGTCGAGTCTGAAGCGTCTTTGCCATTCCTTGATGTCCTTATTCAGAAAAACTTACCTCACAGTTTTTCCTATTCCGTGTACTGGAAACCCACTCATACAAACCGATATCTTAATGCCCAGTCACATCATCACCCCGCCCAACTCAATTCAGTGGTCAACACTCTCATTTCTCGTTCCATAAGACTTCAAACATCAGACATCAGACTTCAGACATCAAACATAGGTCATCCGAAATCAATTCAATAAGACAAACACTCTTACAAAACGGCTACCACAAAACCCAAATCAATAAGAGCATTCAAAAACATCTAAACCCCATTCCATCCAAAAAAGAAACCTTGCCGCCGGATCAACCCAAAATCTTTCTACCTTTTATTAAAGGTGTCACTGACAAAATCAGTAGAACTCTTCTTCCTCTAAACATCAAAACTATCTTCACTACGCACTACAAGTTGTCCAATCTCGTAAGATCCGTAAAAGACCAAATCCCTAATGAAGACCATGGTGTCTACGAGATACCTTGTTCCAGTTGCCCACGTACATACATCGGACAGACAAATCGACGAATCCTTAACCGTGTTTACGAACATTCTATATCAGTCAAACATTCCGATACTACTTCAGCCCTAGCCCAACATCACATTTAAACAGGCCACAAAATAGACTTCGAAAAAGCAAAAACCATCGCCCCCATCCGCTCATTAAAATCAAGAATCATTCGTGAATCCATCGAAATCGAAAAACGGCCTAACAGCTTAAATACGCGCGACGACGCAAAACGATTGCCGCCAACATGGCGACCCCTACTTCAGCGACCTCCCGCCCATACCGTTCAGGCCACGTCAGTCCAGACTACCTCAGCCCATACCGTTCCCGCGCGTACAGCGAGTATAAAATCAGCGTCACAAGGTAAGACCGGTTGTCACTCAACACTGAGGAGTAAGCAGATTGAGACCTCAGTGCCAAGAGACAGTTCTTGTATTTATAATACAGAACAAGATACTGGTACGTGTCGAGTGAGGGGAGTAGGCAAATTGAGACCCCGAACTCGAACCGAACCGTATCCCTCTTGATAATGGCTCCAAAACGGGAGCCGAAACGTCGAGCATCAAATTCTCAACGCGGTTCTTCCCGAGAACCTAGTGATTTTCATATATATATATATATATATATATATATATATATATATATATATATATATATATATATATATATATATACTATTTTATTTTTATACCTGTTGACATAACAGCACGCCATTGTTAAATTAACACCAACCTTCTTAATTCATGCTTGGTTCAATAATTTAAATCAAATATTTAAACACTTTCCCCTGTAACTACTGTTTAAATTAAAATTATACGGTTTATTCCAAAACATGAAGCGCACAAAAGCCCAAGCAAACTTCATTGTAACACAGGAAAATCTAATTGCGACTTTCCACGGACAGCGTACCAACAAAGGGCGTCGGTGGGTATACTTCTTTGTTAAAGTAATGAGCTGAAATAAATTTCGAAATACCTCTTTCATCTCTACCAACTATAGGTTGGAAATTAAACGCTGTGCATTCCATTTTTAAATTTTTGCTTTTATTCGATATGCTGATATACAATATCACAATTATATGGTAGGAAGCAAAACTAAATTTGTTAATACAAAATTAAAAATTATTTTATTCAAAAGTTTCATGATTTTCCAATTTTGACCTGGAATGGAGAAAAAATTAATATTTTTGATTTTTTTATAGTTTTTCGACGTTGCGATGATATATTAAAGAAAGCACGTTCTTTATTTAACTGTCTTAATAATAAATATGGAAGATCGCTATAACATATACAAAGACAATATTCCAAATGAACAACATGGAGTTTATGAAATTCCTTGTGCAGACTGCCTCCGATCTTACGTAGGTCAAACAAATCGCAGAATTCAAAATAGGATTTATGAACATTCGGTTTCTGTCCAGAATTTCGATTCAATTTCACCCCTAGCTCAACACTATCGTCATACAGGTCACATAATTGATTTTGAAAACTCCAGAACTATAGCCTCCATCTGCTTCTATAAACCATATATTGTATAGGCACAATTTTAAGTTTATTATGCAAAAAACAAAGATATTAACATTTATAAATTAATGCAGGCAACTATCTTGGTGAATTATTTATGTTTTTAATTGAGCAACTCGCAAATTAATGAACTTTTGAAGGTTTACAATTTTTATTTCCACTATTTTTCTCAAAACTTCATAAGAATCGGTTTATAGGCAAAAAATAACTTTTTTACTTTTTAAGAATATCTAATATCAAAAGCTTTGTTGCATTTAATGTGAAATTGTAGATCACTTGAGTATGCTATGAATAAAGGTGGGGTGGGTGCTTGCGGTACCCCACTTTCCGTTCTCTCAACTGAGAAAGAGTCCCTAACATAAAACTTTCTATCTGTTAAATACGCTTCGATCCATTTCAGTAATTGACCACGGATACCAAGGTGTTCCAATTTATGTAATAGTCCTCGCTTTGAAATTCGATCAAAATCTTTAGTAAAATCGAGGTAAATAATGTCTACCGGGGCTAATGCTTCTGTCTAGTGCTCTTGAGCATTCATTAACACACCAGAGAAGATTTGTCATTGTAGAACGTCCTTTGACAAAACCATGCTGCCGTTCTGGTATAACCAGTTCATTTTGCAGAAAATCAGAAGTTGTCTCGACAATAATAGATTCCATTATCTTAAATATTATAGGTGTTAAGCTAATAGTTATTAGGATCTAACTTGTTCCCTTTTTTAAAAATCGGTGTTACAGATACGGTTTTCCATATAGGAAGCAAAATATGTGTATTGAATAATAAGGACATAATCACATATAGGGAAGACAGAGAAAACCTTAGAGACTGAACTGGCGAGGACTTCGGCATTCTCAAAGTTATTATGGGATATATCACCATTATCAAGTTCCAGTAAAGGTATAGAAATTGTTGTCAACAAAGATCTAATATACTTCTGCAATTTTTTACAGTTATTACTAATTGCTATACTCTCTTCGTATGCAACACGAGCTTCATGTAGAGATTTCTTTAAATCTTTGGAAAAGTCTCGATGAATTAGTAAATCCTCTATGCGATTTGAACGTCTATATTTGTTTCACAATTTTCTTTTATACGTGATCAGACATTTTAATTCCCCATTATTCCAAAGTTTTATGTTGTTTTTGTATATGATTTTTTTGAAGGTATTTTGGTTTTTGCAGAAATTAACAACGTGTAAGGACTTATCCCAGAATACAACTGGATTCCTTATGTCGCTGAAAACATCATTCCAATCAATATCAGCCAGTTGTCGATTTGCATTTTCAAAATCAATTATTCATATACCGTTTTATTAACATTAGGATTAGGAAATTTAAAAGGATTAATGCAGGAAAATTCTTAAGTCCAGTCATGACTGACAACTTCTTCTTCTTCTTCTCGTGCCACTCCTAGCGGAGATTGGAAATCATCATGGCCACTGCGACTTTGTTAGCAGCGCGCCTAAAAAGTTCAATCGAACTACACCCGAACCATTCACGTAGATTACGAAGCCACGATATTTTTCTTCTTCCCACACTTCTTTTGCCCTTAATTTTGCCCTGCATGATGTTTCTTAAAAGTTCGTACTTTTCACCTCTAACAATGTGCCCCAAGTATTCCATCTTTCTAGTTTTTATCTCATTTAGAATTTCGCATATTTTGTCAAAATTTTGAAGTACTTACGTGTTAGTGACGCGGTCCATCTATGATATTCTGAGAATGCGCCTATAGCACCACATCTCGAAAGCTTCGATGTTTTTTATGATCAACTGTTTTAGTGTCCAAGCCTCAACTCCATATAACAGGGTAGAAAAGACATAACACCGCAGCATTCGTATTCGTAACTTTATATTGATATCACGATTGCAAAAGAGTTTGCGCATTCTATTAAAGACTGATCTAACGATTTCTATTCTACATCTAATCTCTTTTGTTTGATCAGTATCGTCTTTGATCCAAGCACCTAGATATTTATAACAGGGCACACGCTCAATCGTTGTATTGTCTATTACAAGATTAGCTCTGATGTTCTTTGATGTCGTGATTACCATAAATTTAGTTTTTAATTAATTTTCAAGTTGTAACTGTTACAGTATATATTGAGACTTTGAACGAGATGTTGTAGTTCTACTAGCGTTCCCGTTAGGAGAACTGTATCGTCAGCATACCTTATATTGTTGATCGTCTCACCATTTATTATCAGACCAAGATCTTCTTCCTCGAGTGCTTGTTCACAGATAGCTTCACTATACAAATTAAATAAAAGTGGCGATAAGATACATCCCTGCGAGACTCCTCGACGGATTTGAATTTCTTCTGTTAGTCTGCCCTCAACCTTGACATTTGCTGTTTGTTTCCAATATAGATTGCATATAATTCGAATATCTCGGCTGTCTATATTTTTATTTATTAGAACTTGTCTTAGTGGTTCATGTTGTACTTTGTCAAAAGTCTTTTCGAAATCAATAAAGCAGGCGTAAATTTCTTGGTTTATGTCTAAGCATCTCTGTGAGAAAACGTTCATTGCAAACAGAGCTTCCCTTGTACCCAGCCCTTTTCTGAATCCCATCTGAGTGTTACTGATGTCTACGTCTAATTTCCTATAGATCCTATTATGGATTATTTTTAAGAACAGTTTTAGAGCATGACTCATCAAAGCTATCGTACGATATTCGTTGCATTCCTTTGTATTTGCCTGTTTTGGCAGTAGTATAAAGGTCGAACGGAGCCATTCCCTAGGTATTATTCCAGTTCTATATATTGTGTTAAATAGATCTAGGAGTATTTTAATAGATTCATCGTCCATAAGTTTGAGCAGTTCTACGGGAATTTCATCAGGACCGGAGGCCTTACCACTTTTTGCTTGTTTGATTGCATATTCTATTTCTTCTCTGATTATATCAGGCCCTGTATCATCTGTATATTCGTTTGAGATTTCTTGTCTATCTTTGTCATCAAACAGTTGTGTCATTAAAATCGCCCATTACTACTGTAGTATGATGTTTCTTCATTGATTTTAGAATTTGTTCCAGATGGTAATAGAAACTTTCAATTTCATCATCATCTTTATCAGCCGTAGGAGCATATACTTGTATAATATTTATAATTTGTTTATTTGACTGAAGTTGTAGTGTCATTATTCTATCAGAGAAGGGAGTAAAGCTTGTTACACAGTTACTGATTTTCTTTGATACCAAGACAGCGACACCGTAACGATGAGTTGAACTGATGGTGCCTGAATAATAAAGTGTTCCACTGTTATTCGTCCATTTTCCTGATCCTGGCCACTGTACATCACTTATACCTAGGACATCAATTTTAAGGTTTTCCATTTCAAGGGCTACATTATTTAATTTACCTGCTGCAAAGAGGCTTCTTACATTCCACGTTCCTATTTTTAATATCTTAAGGTGATTGATATTACTTACACAGGTATTTCGCTGGTTCACGACCTGAGAGGCCCTATGATCTGTCTGTGGTTTTCCTCTCTGCCGTATCTTGGGTTCCGAGGTCCATGATCAGTAACATGAGTGATTGATGTGATATTTACCATCATGATTATACTAGGAAATCTTAAAGATCATTAATACAGTGGTTTCCCGTTGCCTTCTGTATCCTTACGCCGTTGACCATTCCTTGATTCATCCGCCTTCGAGACAGATTTCTCTATCTCAGGACAAAAGAGTGCCCTGCCACTTACCAACTCATCCGCCCGAAGCCGTTGGTAGGTAAGTGGGGGATTGCATATACCGGCAATCGCTCGGTGGAATTGTCGCCATATCTGGCTACCCTCACTTAGTTTAGCCTGCAGACCAATGCAGTTGCCCGGGGTGTAGCACTTGGAGCCATAAGTGAGAGTTAGTTGTCTTATGAGGACCAGTTATCAAGAACCATCTCCCGTCTATGACGCTCGATGTGGTCGTTCCGATAAAAGGTACTACCTCTATAACACAACTCTACACAAATCCCACTGATAACTTACCGTAAACATAAATAGAAAATCGGTTTTGGGTTAATTAAGTAGCGATTTTAGCATTTTTCTATAAAATTATCTTTGGTTTTTTATTAATTTAATTTTGATTAGTAATTATACTTAAATGTCCGTATATTTTCTGCTATTTTCATCTTATTTAAAATTTTAGGTTAGTTCTCTTAAAGAATGGATGATAACCGATTTAAAAGTAACAAAAGTGGTAAAACCAAACTGGAACGGTCAAAGTGTTTTTTCGCTGGGTAACTACGGAGACTTTTCAGGGAATAGCGGTGACGGAATGGGGACAAGATCTTTTTACTGGCTGGCACCTGAAGAATATTTGGGTAACAAACTCGAGGCTTACAACTCCAACTTTCTATTCAAAGTTCAGTGGGTGGTGATGAGGGGAGACACCAGTGGCGAACCGACTAGAGGGCCAAATATTGTTCTTATAGGTAAGTAAATATGTTTTAGAAAGACAAAGCATTAGCTTAAGGTTAAAATATTAAAAAGTGTTCACAGGATTTAATAAATTTAAATTAAAACAAAAAATAAATCAATTTACAAATGTTTATTATTGATACACATCTTTATTAAATAATAAGCTACTTTCCAAGGCTCTACCAAGATTCTGAGTCTACCGTAAATTCTTGTGTTTTATCTATCTCAAGATTCTTCTTTTTCTTCAAGTGCCCTGTCCGTTGCGAACGTTGGCTATTAACATGGCAATTGTGATCTTGTTTGCGACGCTTCTGAACAGTTCGACCGATGTGAGCCCGAACCACTTCCGCAGATTTTGGAGCCACGAATGCTTTCTCCTGCCTGGCCCTCGTTTACTGCCTATTTTGCCCTGGACAATCAATTGTAGCAGACGGTACTTATCGTGTCTCAATATGTGGCCTAGATATTCAAGCTTTCTTTGTTTAATTGTATTCACGATTTCTTTCTCCTTTCCGATTCTTTGGAGTACCTCTATGTTGGTGATATGTTCGGTCCAGGATATACGAAGAATGCGTCGGTACACCCACATATCTCAAGTTTACTCATGTTATTCGTTTTAGGTACTACGTCCCATAATCCTCCTATACAATCCTTTATAGTTCTGGCCTTCATCACAATATTCTTTTATTCTGTCCCGCAGCTACTTCTTCAACTTTGTCGGATGTTCATGGATTTTAGGTACCCCGTTACGTTATCCACCCATATTTTGTCATCAACTAATCTCAAATCCCCAACGGACCTGAGATTATTTCTGCCGAATTGTAGCACTAAGTGCTACCTCAGCTCGGCTACCGATTATAAGTCCATTGTCGGGCTCTTCTTTTCCTCGACAAAAGATAGTCTAGCAGTCAACAAAACAAAAGCTGATTCCTACACCTCTTATTGGCTTGAATAATATTGTAGCCTCAAGGCTTTGTGTTTATTTAAACACTAAAGAGCTTTAAGAATCTTCTTTGAAGAGAAGTCTTCTTAATTCGACGAAATGTTCACTTAGATAATAATAAATCGCAGAATAGTTGAAAAAGACTACTCTGCCAACTAGGTCTAGCCGAGATTAAGATGTAGGCCGACTTAATCCCGATTGGAAGATGCGCTGCCTTTTTATGCGTTTCTTCATTCTATCTCCTCTGCGATCTTTCGTCGAAGGCCAATAAAAACGTAGTTAATAAGACTGTTTCGTATGGGCCGGCCAAAGTGACAATCTTCGCTGTGATTGGCCAGACTGGCAACATCTAGTACGGAAACTTCTAGTACGTACTTCTTGTTCATTGCGAACGCTATATTTTTATTACGCCTAAAGCGGTTGTTTGGCAATATTTTAAATACCCAAACTAGTTAAGACTTGTTAATATTTGTTGAACTCAGATTTGTTAATTTTTTTTTTTTTTCAAAAAGTCCTAATTGATTTTCGTGTTTCAACATTTTTGCAAGTTTTAAATTCCATAAAAATCAGGAAGTTCTATGAAATTGAAATCTGAAAAATGCAGAAGAAGCATAGAAATAGAAAGACGTAAAATCTCGGGGCTACACAATACTACTTCTTCACACAGCTTCTTACGAGCCATACCCGTAAGAAGCTGTGTGAAGAAGTAGTTACTCTCTCTACGCCTGTGTACTACCCAATATCTCATGTCCGATGTGAGTGTTCTTGTCTATTCAGCCCTATGTTCGTTTCACCAATATTCTTGCCATTTCGCGTCGGTCAAACTTCTTTCGTCTGCTTTGTCATTTTCACTCATGCCGTACATTATTGCTCTTTCTCTCACTAGTAGGTAAATTGGTGGCTTTTAAGACAACTGTCGAAGTCGTCTTATATGCGCAGACGACCCTCGGCAGGACCTTCTTCTGAACTTTCTACAGAATCCTTGTGTATATTTGTTTATTTATTACCAGCTGCCATACTGGTACCTCATATAGTATGACGGAGTGGACCACTTCCACGAGTATTCTCCTTCGACCTATCCCCGGACCTCCTATATTTAACATTCTCTTTGTTAGCGCTGCTGTTCTTTGATCGGTTTTTTCGCAGCATATAATATTTGATCACCGAAGCTCTATTTGGTGTCCAGTATTACGCCCAGTTCTTTGACTTTCTTGATAGCCAGGGTATTTTCTCCTACTAGAGTGAAGATATGCTCTCTCACTCTTGGACCCTTGAAGATTTTGGCCTCCTTCTTCTGTGTGGCTAGCGTCAGTTCTCTCTCCTCTAGCCACATCCTAACTAATTCAAGTGCTATATTTGCTCTATCCATTATATGCCTATTATCAAAATGCTTCACTAGTATGACCAGGTCCTTTGTGTAAGCAATTTTCTGTATTTTCTCTGCTAGGTTTATCTCCAATATGTCATTATAGAGTACATTTCAGAGCAATGGACCTAGGACCGAGCCCTGTGGCAATACCGCAGATGTCTTCATTGTGTCATCTTTAGTTATATTAATGCTCCTATATGTAAAATAATCACTAAGTTCTGCAGGTATGTGGATATTTCTATTTCTTTTAATAATCTGATGATTTTCTCCCAGCTCGCATTTTTAAATGCGTTCTTGTGGAAGACTGCCACCATACACTCTTCCTGGACAGACGTTATGGCATCTGGCAGATCTGCCTTTTTTACACCCATACTGGCGGTCTGACAGGCCTTCCTTTTCTTCTATTTCTTTTTCGAGCCTTGAGTTTATAAGGATTTCGAATAACTTGCCTTATGTATTTAGCAAGCATATTGGCCACTTCTTCTATTTCTTTCCCAGCTTTAGGAAAATAAAGTAAAACTGAACGAACTAACAAAATGTTTTCATGATCAATTACAATAATTAGTGTAATTTTACATTAACCAAATTTTTTTTCTTCCAGGTTTCTTTTAAATTGGATTATATCGTACTATATTGAAATAGGCTAAAGAAGTTTTTTTCTTCATAACAATAAATTTGATATACGAGGCATCATATGTATTATTGTATGAAAAAAACACGTGCTGTTTTGATTATTGAGTGGATCATGTTGGCAAAGATTAAAATTGAGATCGACCTATATTTGGAGCATGATTTTTAATAGTTTTAACTTAGTTAACATGTTAGTGATTCCTATGTAAAATTTCGCTTGAGTATATTTACTTGAACTAGCAAAAAATTATTTTTTCACGCTATTACAACTGACTAAATATTATTTTATCTATTGTCGATCGAGAAGACTGACAAAAGGCAGACAAATTACTCAAATTTTTTTTTGTAGCCGGCTATACTGAATCAAATTAGCTTATTGTACATCTTCCATTCGTGTAAACTTTAGGCCCAGGTTTTCACTAGTAATAATGACATATTGAAAGACAAATTACCATTTAGCACAACTTTTACTTTAACTAAAAAATTAAGGTCATTATGCATACATTTGATTTGTTTTAGGAAATGGAATGAAAATAGGTTACGGTGACGATATTCATACTTCATCCAAGATGACATTCCAATTGAAACTTAACGAAATAGGCTGGTATCACATTCCACAAAATATTCGGGATGTTACAAAGATTGATGGTACTGTTTACCATGGTGCAGCAGTGACAAGAAATGAATTTCTGAAATTACTTAGCAATGTTTCAAACGTGTTACTAAGATCTACATTTCATACTGACCAGATTGAATCATTATTGGAGGAAGCTGCGTTAAATATTGATGATGATGAATATGGATACAGCAGTGTAGAGCGGTGTTCCTGTCCTTCTGGTAGGTACTTGTATCTATTTATGTGTTTTCCTCCAAAAATAGTACTTTAATAGGTTTTCTGTATTCTATATAATTTTAGGTTTATAATTTATCAGATAAAATATCATGAAATGCGAATTTGATAAGATTTACCTGATAATAAATAAATGAACAATCAATAAATTAAAAATAACAGTAATACAAACAAAATATTCAGACAAAACTCTTCTTTAATGTCGACAGAATATCGTCAAGTGACTAAACTGAAATGGTTCGCTTAAAAAAAAAGAATTTTTAAACTAAAAGATTGATACAAATAGAGACCCAAAAAGAAACATAAACAATGGAAGAAAGATGGAATACTTACAGTGAAGTGTTACAGAAAATAGCATTAAAGTGTGTGGAATCAAAAAAATGCAAAACAGCTGAAAAAGGCAAGATGGTGGAACTTCTTCTTAGAATGCCGTCTTCCTACGGAGGTTTACAATCATAATGGCTATTTTGACTTTTGAACTTGCTGCTCTAAACAAATCAATCGATCTATATTGATACCAATCACTTAGATTCTTCAACCGTGACTTCTGCCTTCGGACAACAGATCTTCTTCCTTGAATCTTTCCCTGTATTAGTGTCCATTGAGTCTCAAAATTTCATATTTTGGTCCCCTCATCACGTGGTATTCCAGTTTTCTGGTTTGTATAGTGGTGATTAGTTTTGTTTCTTTACCAACCCTCTCCAGTACTTCTTTATTTGCAATTCTATCTATCTATCTAATCAGCCCTAAACGCCCACTCTTGGGAATAGGCCTCCCCTGTTAATCTCCATTCCTACTGAACGTCTTCCTATTGGGGAACCGTCTCTTGCCGTCTTTACTACTCTGTTTGTTGTCATTCGGCTTATATGATCGTTCCATTCTACTCTTCTATTTCTTACCCAGTTTTTAAAGTTCTCCACCTTGCATCTAAATGTATATCTGTACTTCTACGTCTGTCCCATAGTGTCTTATCATCAATTTTTCTAAGTGTTTTCATCTCTGTTGTTTCTAATATCCTTTTTGTCCTCTCTGTGTAATGTCTTGTTTCTGCCACGTAGGTCATTATTTATCTGATGACCGTTTTGTAAATTCTGCCTTTCTTTTCTTTCCCGATATTTTTATTTCTCCATATTGTTTCATTTAGGCAGCTTGCGGCTCTGTTTGCTCTATTTACTTGATCTTCCACTTCGATTTCAAGCTTTCCGTAGCTAGATAATGTGATGTCTAGATATTTCAACTCTATCACTTGTTCTATTACCTGACCTTCCAGCTCCAATTTACATCTTAGTAAATTTGCTATTGTAACATTATATTGTAATATTGAAAATATATATGGTACATATATATATATATATATGAACAGCGAATGGTACGTAGTCTGATCTCCAAGTTTAGATTTTTGCACGTTAGAAGTGTTCATCTGTAAAAATGCTGATCTGGCAATCTCTATTCGCCTGTTTAGTTCTACAGTATGATCATTTATTTCATTGATCAAAGTTCCCAAGTACTGATATTTGTCTACTTGTTCTATCATGTATATAGTCTTCTTTTAGGAAGCTGAAACCAAGTATTGGCAATTACCATATTCTTTTCTTGTCAGTATTCTATGAGCCTTTCTCCTCTCTCGTTTCTAGTTCCTAATCCGAACTGTCTAACTATATTTTCAATTGTACCTACTTCAAAACAGGAATAGAGGAAAATAAAGAAAAATATTACAGGCAGAGACGAATGGTAAAACAGACAGTCACACAACCAAAAAACAAAAGAAAATAAACGTAGTAAAAGATACATCAAAGCAAATCCAAATAAACCCAGAACGAATAGCTAGGGTATGTAAAGAATATTAAGAGAAAAAAAAATTGACAAAGAATTTTATGAGAAAATGAAGGATGAAAGATAAAAGAAAACATAGAGCTACAGCTAATAAGCAGAGAAGAAGTAATAGAAGGATTATCAAATATAAAAAAAGCAAGGCAAGTGGAAATGATGAAATTGAACCGGAAATGGTAAAATACATGGGAGAAGTAGGAATAAACTGGCTATAGAAAATATATAAAGACGCGTGGAAAAAGAAATAATTCCTAAAGATTGGCAGAACAACATCATCTACAATTATCTAAACGCTTGAAGTGACCGACGATTTTGAATGTCAGTTAAGCGCGCGAAATTAATTTTTTAAATAAAATTCGATATCTTTTGATCGGAGTGTTCTATCGATAAAAATCAAAATGCACTTTAAAGATGAATAGTGTAGCTTTTATACACAATTTTCTTTTTGACGCAAATGAAGTCAGTTTTCATGATATCAATAAAATTTAACATTCCATTAATCGGCCACTATGATATTTTCATTGTTATAGTCTAATCTTCAAAACCTATGAAATTTCGATTTTGAGTTTTGGAAAAAAAATATGAGACATCTGAAATATGCCTAAAAACGCTGAATCTAAACCTTTTACATTACAAACTATTTAAACCGTTTAAAACTGCTTTTTGAATTGAAACATTTTTAAACAGTGCTTTAAATTTCACCATATTTTAGACATATCTCAAATGCCTCATATTTGTTGCCAAACTCAAAATCGAAATTTCATAGGTTTTTTAAAATTAGACTATAACTTTAACTAATTTTTACAAGGGAATATGTTTTTTCTTGACAATGGCCTTTTAACCTGTGTTTATGCCTGTTTGAAATGGGTTACGATAAATATTACTTTTTAATTGAATTCTCGAAACAATTGGAAAATTTATTGTAGACACATTTCTAAATACGCTTTTGTCATTTTAGGTTACACTGGATTATCCTGCGAATCCTGTTCATTTGGTTACGTTCGAATTCTGCCTAACATGACGACAACCAACATCGAGCAAAGCTTTTGCGTCAAATGTGATTGTAATGGTCACTCTCCATCGTGCAACTCTGATACAGGGGAATGTTCCTGTCAGCACAACACTATGGTAATTTCGTAAAACATCTATTATGAAATTGAAAGTGGTTACTTGATTTAGCGACAATACGTTCTGAAATACAATGCAATCTGATTTGAAAAAACCAAAATAATCTACTTTATTTTTTACATATAAAGAATTCTTTTTTTATTTATTCGTTTCTTATTTGGAGACTTCCTCGTTTCTTATTCTATCTCTTAAGCTTATTCCAAGCATTGATCTCTTCATCTTTCGTTGTGTCCTTCTCAATTTTTCGGCTGATGTTTTTGTGAGAGTTATGGTTTCTGCTCCGTATGTGAGGACTGGTAGAACGCACTGGTTAAAAGCTTTTCTTTTTAAATGGATCGGTATATTTATTTTAAATACGTCTCTCATTTTTCCGAATGCAGCCCAACCCAGACTTATTCTTCTGAGAAGCTCGCATGTTTGGTTATCTCGCGTTAACCTTATTTCGTGACCCAAATAGACATATTTTTCCACAAATTCTGTGAGCGACTTTTCGATTTCTATTAGCTCATTGGGGACGAGGTTGGTCATCATTTTTGTTTTTCCGTAGTTTATCTTTAAACCGACTTTCTGGGTTACTTGCTGTAGTTGTTGTAGCATAACTCTGGCTTCTCCTAAGTTGTCTGTTATGAGAACAATATCATCGGCATATGTAATGCTTGTTAGTCCATTTTTGAATGGTTAAATTATTGAACTTTTTTTATGCTATTCAGTAGCAATATGTTGTGATGGACAAAAAATTGTTTATTTTATGAATTATTTTTTAAATAATATTGCAATGCGTTTTAAGTCCTTATTTATTCTTCAAAAAATTAAAAAACCAATATTTACAACTTCTTATGGAACAAATATACACAAATAGGAAATATTTGAAAAGGTTTTTAAAACCCCCGCCCATTGTGATGTCAGGGCTTAGGTAGTCCATTGACAATAAATTCTGGTATAAATTATAAGTACATTGTTTACATTTTTCTAATTACATTTCTCCATAAGATTATCTCTTGGGTCATATCAATATTAATACTCTTTACGGACATGCCCTACATAAGCGTCTCCTCACAGGTCTTTGTTGGTCTTTCTCTTCTACTCCTTCTAGGAACCCGCAGATCAGCAATTCTTCGTGTTGGTGAATAACGTCTCTACGTTGAATATGACCAAACCATCTTAACCTATGCTCTCTCATCTTTGCAACAATTGGTGCCACCCCTAATTATTAGGTTGATGATCTCAAAAAATACAGAATTAAATGGTGACATTGAACAAAAAAACGTTAAATTTGGTAACCCAAACTACTAGCAGATAAATAATTTCTTTTACCCTAATTTTGTTTATATTATGTGTATGTTTATTTCGTTTTAAAATGTATAGGGAGAAAAATGTGAACGTTGCGCTCCTGGTTTCTACGGCAATCCAATCCGGGGCACTCCCGATGACTGCAAAAAGTGTGCCTGTCCTTTAGAGAACGACGAGAACAACTTTAGCCCCAGCTGTCAACTCGACTACTATGCCGAGAGGGAAGAAGATGAGGGCAATTACGTCTGTACTCAATGTCCGAAGGGATACACGGGGGATCACTGTGAAATGTAAGTTTTATGGTTTTTTGTAGAGGTACGAAATTTCTTATTTTAAGGAACTTTATAAAGTAGTCTTCAGTGAAAGTCTGTAAAGTATCTAGTACGTTTAGTCCTTGGTTGCTTTTTGTGATGTAATGACATTTATTATTCTGAATGTTTTATATAAAGTAACGTTTCCTCTAATTAATACTATTTTGCAAGTAATATTTTTATATTTGCTATTATAGTAGAATTTCCTGATCCCCTGATAATAGGGGATCCCCTCTGAAATTTCCTTTTTTCTCACTATTTTCCTCGAAAAATAATTTACTTATTTCTTGTAAATCTTTTTATTTATTTTTTGGCATTTCTCCACAAGCTCTTTCAGTTTAGCAACATGACAAATCTATGTCACTCGTCTGTAATGTCGATTACTTATCTTGTTTCCACAAATTCTTCTCTAAAGCTTCCAGCAAGGTCTGATCATCTCTAGTTTATCCAAAGTCGCTTTTGATATGTTATTATATTAGCAATATTTCAATATTGAATTATTTGGCAGGACTACATTTTTGACATGTATCATAACAAAGCTAAAAAAGTAGTTAAAGTATCTCAGTTATTTTAGATTCAATAATCTATCTATACAGCCCTAAACATCCATCCTTGGATATAGGCCTCCTCCTCCTTCTTCCATGCCTCTCTATCTTGGGCAATTTACATCCATTTTGACCCGGCGTGTTTCTTCAGGTCATCTGACCATCGCATTTGTGGCCTTTCCCGTTTTCGTTTGTGATTCCATGGTCTCCAATGTATAATTGTCTTAGTCCATCTTTCATCTTTCTGCCTTAGGGTGTGTCCGGCGAACTTCCATTTAAGCTTTGCTACTTGGGTTGAGACATCTTTCACTTTTGTTTTATTACGGATCCATTCGTTTCTTTTTCTGTCTGATAGTTTAATTTTCAGCATTTGTCTTTCCATGGATCTTTCTGTCTGCTATTTTTTCCATATTTTCATTTGTAAACGTCCATGTCTGAGAGCCATATGTGAGGACAATGAGTATGCATTGATTGAAGACTCTCGTTTTTAGGTATTGGGGGTATTTTGAATTCTTTAGAATATAAGACAGTCTTCCGAATGATGCCCAGGCCATTCTTATTCTTCTCTTTATTTCTTCGATCTGATTTTCTTTATTTAATTTAGTGATTTGGCCTAGATATATATACTCTTTTACTTGTTCTATTCTTGTTTGTGCCACTGTAATTATAAGTTCTTCTGGTTGATTAGTCATGGTTTTTGTTTTACTGTAATTCATCTTGAGTCCAATTTTTGTCGATTCTCTATCTAGTTCTTCTATCATTCTTTGTAATTCTTCACTTTTTTCTGTTATTAATACAATATCATCAGCATATCGTAAATGATTGAGATTTTGCCCGTTTATGTTAATTCCCAAGCCATCCCAGTGTAGTCGTTTGAAAACATCTTCTAGCGCTTGGTTGAATAGCTTGGGCGAGATGATATCTCCTTGTCTTACTCCTCGGTTTATTTTAATAGGCTCCGTTTGTTTCATTAGCTTAATAGTTGTTGTTGCCTTGTTGTATATATTTGTAATTAAGTCGGTATATCGGTAGTCTATTCTGCTGTTTTTAGGGAATTCTGTACTGCCCAGTGTTCCACACTACCAAATGCCTTCTTGAAGTCAATAAATGCCATGTATAGCGGGATATGATATTCGTTATTTTTTCGATTAAAATGTTCATCGTTAAAAGGTGGTCACTTGTACTGAAGCTCTTTCTAAATCCGGCTTGTTCTCTTGGCTGGTATCCATCTAATTTAGTTATTAATCTATTTGTTAATATTTTGGTTAATAGTTTTTACATCACATTCACTAAAGTTATGGGTCTGTAATTCTTTAGATCCTTTTTTAGATTCAATAAATATTACCTAAATATTTTTATTCTCGGTGCAGAATGACCTTTCTTCAAATACCTCTTTACTCCAAGGGTGAAACATCCTTGAACCTCTTTAGTAAACAATAATGCTCTCATCCATATCTTTTGATTATGCTGCCAGAACACTGTAAGTGATTTTAAATGTTTATTTTTTGTCAGATGAGATATTTTGGCGCGGCAAATAACACCAGCTTGTTTAAATGTCCAGTTATATTAACTCATAGTAACATGGTTATTCCAACTACAAATTACCTGAAATATATTGTTAAATATCCTCAAGTCCAAAATGGCAAATGCCGATATGGATGCCAAGCCATGTAGAAAGCTGAACTCCTGGCAACGTCCAGATGTGTACGAAAATTTTTGGGTGATACTCCAGCATAACAAGTCACCTAGGGCTTGATAACACGGAGAGAGTCCCACCAAAGCTCAATCGTTTTGATACCGTAGGTATCTGGGATGAGCGAATTCTCCCCTTAGAGCGAGTGTGAGCTATAAACACTGAAGTCTTATTCAATGATATCGTGAAAGCTCATACCCTGAAACCAGTCGTTCATCACTGGTCAACAGGAGAGACTCAGGCATGTACAGAGTGTTCGTGCATATAGTAGTCTACAAATTATGATGGGGGCTGGAATAATTTTACATCATCGAACTGTTCTTCGAACTCTTTTTTTGGGGAAGGCACTTTGAATTAATATCAATATATTGATCATATCTTAGAACCTGTCGTCTTTCTATTTGTCACTGCTGTAGGTTCTAATTTGCGTTACATGCAGGATAATGCAAGGCCACGTATTGCAGAAAGACCAAGAGATTGGTTTCATAATGAGAAGATTACACTTTTGCCGTGACCAGCACACTCGCCAGATCTTAATCCCATAGAGCATGTATTAGATGGCTTCAGGGACACATGGCTCCTCATCTACATTATATTCTTACTAGAAAAGGTCTTCTCTAGACAAGGTCTCTTCTTACACTTGAATGAATCCTATTGCTTCAAATCTAAATTGATAATTGAATCTTAAGCATGCCAATGCGGTGTCAAGCTATAATAATTAATACTACTTAATGGAGGAAACACAGATTAGTAAACACCTTTGTTGTTAGATTTTTATGTTTTATATTGACTTTTACGTTAAAAATTTCCATTAAATTAACGCACTTAAGTCGCAGAATATAACGTAGAAGTTATAAGCCTGTTAATATTGTTCTAAAAGTATTTTCTTGTGGCAATTTAAAGTAATTACTATTTAAATGGGAATAAGCCACAATTAAAGGTTAAAATACGTTTATTGACGTTTCAATTTTTACTTCGGAAATCTCCGAACGATTTCCGAAGTGGAAATTGAAACGTCAATAAACGTACTTTAACCTTTAATTGTGACTTATTCCCATTTAAATAGTAATTATTAGCCTCTTACAATACATAAAACAATAATATATTATCATTATTACAGTTGTGATGATGGATTCTTTGGAAATCCAATGGAAATAGGCAGCAATTGTCAACCTTGTGATTGCAATGGAGGACCTTGTGATCGAAAAACTGGTCAGTGTCTTAGTTGCAGAGGAAACACTGAAGGTATCTACTATCTTCCACTACGTATTCCTTATCCTGAAATTCTATAATATAAACAATTGCATTTTGTTTTTAGGTTGGAAATGTGAAAAGTGTAAACCAGAACATTATGGAGAACCGTCACAATTTAATTGCAAAGCCTGCGAATGTGACTCAATCGGGTCCGTGTCAAGGCAGTGTAATAATGTAACGGGACAATGCGAATGTAAAGAAAAGTTTATAGGAAGAATATGTTCGGAATGTGAGGTAAATTTATTTTATGTTTGTATTGTGGCAACATTGGATATTATATACTCTTAGTTCATTACTTAAACCGTTTGAGTCAGTATTTGTAAATTACTAACGACCTTGCTACAACTAGCAATTGTTTATATATTAAATTTTGTATGTACATTTACAAAACATTACAAATAATATGAAGACAATACAAATATATATTAGAGTGATGTTTAATTCAATGTGAAAACACTTGTTTGTCTTCACTTTGGGCTGGTTCACTGGTAAATAGATTTTAATTGAAACGCTGTGGACTGTAATTTTGTTTAATAGTAATAATAGAATAGAGATGTTACAAGTCTAGGTATCTGCACACTCTTACTTCTTACTTACTTCTAACTAAAAATGGAATGCGCATAACCAAGCGCGGTGTTGACATGGTTGCCATTTAACAAATAATAAAAAATCCGAACAAGTGGTACAATTACGAATTATTGGTGCATTATTGTAATTAGTAATGAGGTTTATAGATCTCGGTCTTTTCTTAGGTGGAGAATACACACGTGCATTTTTTGTGGCAGTTGCGAAACTCTGCTGACAGTAGAAATACTAAGCTTCAAAGCTAATGAAACTCTCTAAAACAGTGTTTTTAGTATACATAATTAAAGGGGTTGATGCAAAAAGTGCCTTATTCACAAATAGGTGAACTAGGTGAAATATTAAGGTTTGAACGTTTATTTTTGATTTTGAAACATTACTGAAAAAGTTATGATCAAAATGAGTGTTGAGATTTGTTATTTTTGTAAAAGTTCTTCGATTTTCATGAATAAACACAATTTTACGATTTTACGATAAAAAAGCTTTACGATTTTCTACACAAAAGTCAATTATTTTGTGACTTGGGCACATTTTGTGTTGCAATTTGTTATTTCGTCGAAAATTAAAAAGATATATCATAGGAAAAATTAGCGTTTATACTGAAATATATTTATTATGTAACAGCGTAACAGCGTAAGAACATACAAAATGTAAGTATGTAATGTAAGTAATGTAAGAATATAAACATTGTATAAATTACAAAGATTCTTGTAGCAAAGATTAGAACAAGGATATTTTGTTGGATTATACTCCCATTTTCAAACATCGTTCAAGTACAGAATTTAGTGTCCAGTGATATAATGTGTTTGACAAGATGCATTACATTGTCAAATTTCAACTGTACAATTTGAAGGTATTCATTTGCATAGGCCAGCCTGGGTTGGCCGCAAAGTTTAAGGTTCTGACCCAATTTGTAAAGTTTGATTGGTTCCATTGGGCCAGAATAGGTTGCACTGAGCTGTGGTTGCTCCTTACGTAAAATTTTGATTAGTCTAGCTTTCGAAATTCCCAGCACAGCTTTTTTTATATGGGAATCTAACCATAATTTATAGTGTTTCAGTTTTATGCTACGATCGCCTTCTTCCAGACATCGATTTGACCTCAGCGAATGCTGTACAAATACGACGTCAAATGGGTTTTTATTTTTTCAGAGCCTTTTATCAGATTAACATAAACTTCAGGGTTGTCAACTTTGTCGTACTTCAATCTTTGTTATTCAATCACAGTTAAATCTAGATCGACTGGCATCATACTGCGACCGGATATTATTATAGTTATTATATTATCATTATAGCTTCAAAAATATTCTTGAAACAAAACTGATCCAAAACGACAAACAAATACCTATTTTTATTCTGACTGAAGCAGTTGTCGCAAAAAAAGAGTTTCAAATATCGTTGTTCTGGCTTCTGATTTTGCGTAATATAGTCCTGCAGGCAAGAAATAACCTCGTTTTGGTCCTTTTTGAGCTAAATGTTCTGCATACATATTGGATTTTCCTGTCGTTAAGCCACGTTTTCCCAAATTATGAATCCACAACTGACGCAAACAGTATTCGTCCGTAATATTCGTTACAGGAACAGGCAAATTTTTTTGATAATCTAAGCAAATTAATAGAACAAGGGATCATTAGCTTTTGCTTCTTCCGAAATTTTCTTCTCCAACACTTCAGCTTGTTGTTAACGTGTTGTTGTAAACGTATCATTCTTTACAGTTCATTCGTTATAGATATCTTTTCTTGGGAATCCAAATGATATGTTATGTTCTTCTGTAAAAATTTTCCTGAAAATCTTATATGACACTTTTTATTTTGATTCTCTTATAATAAGTTTCGGTGAAGTTTAACAACAGATAAATAAGAATCTGAAGTTTATTATCAAATCTGCTGTAATGAGACTCTAGAGCTGGCAGTTCTTCTATAAATTTTCTAACTGCGGCTAAAGTATCAATTTTTGTTCTATTTGGCCTACTGTGATAAAGACCTCTAGAATTCTTAGGGTCTGCATTATTTTTCTGAATCTTCTGGCGCAGTTTAAAGCGTTTTATTCCATGTACTGCTGAAAATGCCGACTGACTTAGTGTTATCAGTTTTCCGTCAATCTTTATTTCATATACAAAGCTTCGACTCCTTGTTGTGGATCGACAGATTTTCTTGATCTGTGCCGTTTGACATCCATAGGACGTACACAACCTCCAAAGTATAAATTTTGTTGTTTATATGATGATAAACTTGAAAATTCGGTTTTATTGTTCTTCGCTTAATTTTAAGGAGTATTTACAGCGACAATTCGTTATTTGTCTTCTTTGAAATTTTCGAGAAAACGACTCCTTGCTTTTGATGTTTTTTTTTTCATGGATTCTTATTAATCTTTCTCTTCTTGCCCTTCTTTACTTCTGGGTACTGGGATTCACTGGCTTCATACACCACGTTTTGGGTAATAATAATGTACTGCTTTGTGTGGAGGTTCCAGGGATGTCCATATTTTCTAGATCATGTCCCATCGTAGCACAAGAACTAAAGGTCTTACCTTCCTTTGGTTCTCTAGTTGCTTGTTCTTGGAGCATGGTCATCGACTTCAGAACTATCTTCGTGTTCGCTATTCGGTTCATACTCACTGTATGATGCCGAATAATCCTACCATTCACTATCATCTGAAGTAAAATAATAGTTGTTAAAATATGCGAGGTTAGAATATAGTTATTAATGAATAACTACAAAATAAATCTTATATCCTCCGTAAAAACGATCAGTAGTATCTGCATTAACAAAAGTTATTTATTCCACTTTCCCTACATGCCATGTTAATTTTTAATGACAAATACACACAGAATTCACAAAGACATAATAAACATACGGTACATAATCTTGTAATAACGTGACTAAGGCACAATTTGCACTGCAATATTTGTCAAGTTAGTGATTTAGGTACGTTTTGTATTGAAAACAGGGAGACTCAGAGAAAATGTAAAATAAGGGACTTGAGTACAGATTTCTGCAACTTTGAAACTACCATCTGAAAGCTTATAAAAAATGCCACTAGATGGTGGTACTAACCCAATTCCGTAAAAAAAGTAACTTTCGCATATTTTGCATTGACCCCTTCAATTGTATTATCTGCTCTAGAATACTTTCCAAATATATTTAAATAATAAGAGACCTACATACCTGTTTTATGGCTTCTAGTGGTAATAATGGACTGGAATTGCAATAGCTGGTCAAATACGACGGCATTTTTGTTGTATAATACAATTTAATTAAAATATTCAACAATTTGAATCAAAATCAAATCGAGAAGCTAAAGAAGCAGACTTTAGTGTGTAGACAGTTTATATTTTAACCAACTTCACAACTATAAAAACAAATATTTTTTTGGTGTATTAGTGTTATCCTTACGGATCTTTAATGTGTTAGCCATCCCGAGGATTTCCACATCTCAATGCCGTTGACTAATTTAGCTCTTCCGCCTTTGGAGTCAATTTCTCAGCTCCAGGACAATGAACTGCCCTACCACAAGTCAGTTCTTCCACCTGTAGCTGTTAACCAACAAATGGGGGATTACTTTTACCGGTAATCGTTCGGTTACTTCGCAGAATCACAACCGGTTAAATCATAATTACCGCCTGTGATTATTCAGTATCAGACCGGTAAAGAGACTTTTCTCTACCGCTCCGATCCTGTTGTAATGACATACCTGCTGCCCTATGACATGCTCTCAATTGATCCGCGGGTTTTTATTTCTCAAAGCTTTATTCACACTTGTCCCACATATCTGGTACGCGTTCCCTATCAGCCATTGGGACGCGCCGTATTGAGGTTGAGAACTACCCTCCTCCGAGTGTGTTTCCCAAGAAGTACTGAAGAGCCCCTACTCAATTCAGAACCTCTCCTTCTTGGAAACTACACCGGTACGGTGTGTTTCTTTTTAGGAAAAAGTTGTTGAATTTGCTTGCCATCAAATTTGTACCAGTGGGTTATGATGTCATTAAATCTATGACGTGCACCTCTATTTGTTTGAATTGTCCTTTATTAGGTATACTTCTATATTTTCACTGCTTGTGCGTTTTTTAATTTCCTAATACATATTAAACAAATAATTTCTTTTTACCAACTTTTTTTAATACATACGACAATGTTTAATAGTTATCTAATTTTAATTCATTTTACTATTTATTTTTAGACAGGTTTTGGAAACGTAACTGCCTTGTGTGTACCCTGTAGCTGTAATTCAATAGGTTCAGTTTCGGAAATATGCAATACGCATACCGGCATTTGTGATTGCAAACCAGGAGTAGAAGGTTTTCATTGCGACGCCTGCCAGAACCTCTTTTACGGATTCTCTGAGATCGGCTGTAAACGTAAGTGGAATGAAATGTTTATTGCATGCATTTATTTTGGTATTTATTCAACTGGATACGAATATTAGATATTTGAAATTCATAAAATATTATACACTTACACGAGTCAGAAATAGAAATAGAAATGTCAAAATATATCTGGAATGTAATCTGTAAACTGAATATCAGTACACAAACTCTACCCACAATAAAAATTATTCTTTGCTATAGTTGGTTGTATACGACATTCAGTTTTTGTACAAGTTTTTCAATTCCGAAGGATCATTTTAATATATTAAATCGGCACTGAATAAAAATTATTTTTAAATAAATAATTTAAAACTATCTTTTAATTATCCACATTAGCAATGAAAGATTATTAGCAAGGAACAATAAGTAACAATAAATTATTAAACAACTTTGAATATTCTTGGAGAATCTTCGCGGTACTTTACTTTGTTGGATAGATTATTTTCTGACAGATCGATATTACAAAGTTAGCGTAGGCGAATTTTTCTCACACGACAGGTTAGTGGAAAGTGGAGTGCCTCAGGAATCTGTCCTTGGACCTCTGCTTTTTACGGTTTATACCAGCGATGTTCCTTATTATGTCTCAAGTAAAATATCGTTCTACGCTGATGACACAAAAATATATGCCGATCCAATTACAAACCAGCTAACCTTCCAAATGGGCTTGGACTCTATTTTAACTTGGTGTTCCCAGTGGTTACTACCCTTAAATGCGGAAAAATGTGTAGTGCTTCGAATTGGTAAAAATAACCCAATTGGTAATAAGTGCCGTACTTTGTTAACGGGCAGCCATTAGATTCTGTGTTTTCGTATAACGATCTTGGTGTTGGTGATCGTAAACAGCAGCCTAACTTGGTCCGACCATATTACCTCTATTTGTAAACGTGCAATCTCGAGACTGTATCTTATTCGGAAGTGTTTTCCCAGAGTTTCAATGCAATCATTCTGTAAACTTTACACTCTTTGCGTAAGACCCATACTTGAATACGCTGGACCAACATGGTATCCTGAGTTGGTTCGAGACAAGATATTTTGATATTTTGTTATCAATCTTTTTCAACTTCCATGACTCCATTCCGTAGAGCAGCACAGAAAGTACGTAACATCTCATCAGGCGAAGTTTTATTTCAAGGCTCAAATCTCTTCCTCAGAACACTATCGTTGTCTTCATTTACAAAAGTGCCTAAATATTTGTATTTGCTAACTCGATCGATAATTTCATTGTGTAAGTATAAATTTTGGACATTGGACATGTTCAAAGATAGTCCATATTTTTTGCTGCAGTCTGCTATCTCATTCACCAATGTCTGTAGCTCTTCAAGTGTTTCTGCCATCAGAACGGTGTCGTCGGCAAATTTCAGATTGTTTAATCTAACACCATTTATTTTTATACCCACGGACTGCTCAGAGAGTGTTATATTCATTACGTCTTCGGAATAGAGGTTAAACAGGGTTGGTGACAGTATACACCCTTGTCTCACACCTCGCTTTATTTCAATTTCTTCAGTGGTATTATTCTCTACTCTCACTACTGCTTTCTGATTGTAGTACATATTTGCTATTAGTCAGATGTCTCGTTTATCTAAATTCTTTTCTGTCAGGAGTCTGATTAGGTGATCATGCCGCACTTTATCAGAGGCCTTTTTGTAATCTATGAAACACATGAATACATCTTGATTTATGTTAAGACATCTTTGAGATATAACGTTCAGTGCAAACAATGCCTCTCTTGTTCCGAGTCCCTTTCGGAATCCAAACTGGATATTATTGATGTCCATTTCCACTTTTCTGTGTACTCTAGAGTGTATAATTTTCAGGAATATTTTCAGCTCATCAGACTGATTGTACGGTAATCACTACATTGTTTGGCATTTATCTTTTTGGTTTTTTGAATGTTTATTGTAAGACGTATTTTATTTATTTTATTATCTCAGACGTACACCATCGATGTTTAAACCCTTTTCCCCTAATCAAGTGTCTGAACACATTTTCCAATGCTAAGGTGAACAACTTTGGTGAAATAGGTACATGGTGAACATTTTTGAAATGTGGCCTGTTCATAAATGTTTTTAATGAGTTTAGTATATCGTGAGACTATTCGAGCTACCTTCAGGGCTGACAAAAAGGACCAAGGTGAGTAGTACCAAACCCTCTTCTAAATTCTGCCTGATCAACCGGTTGATATAAATGCAAGTGGTTGTAATGTTGACACCCAGTTTTAACAGTTCGAACAGGATCCCCGCCAGGAGTTTTTCTGTTTTCATTTGTTGTATGTCTGAGTTTTGAAGAAGAATTTATTATCACTATAGAGTTTAAAATAGTTATGTGATCTCTAATATGCTCGTATTAGTTAATGCGGTAATTGGATCACTACCAGTGTTTTACAGAATTTATTAGAGGAACATCTTTGGCTATATCTTTGAAGTTAGAGAGTACAAAGTTACTTACATTTTTTACTATGTCATCTGGGCTGTGCCACGTTCATTTTCTTTGCCTCTTTTTCTCTTAAAAGGTTTTTAAACAGAATAACTTTTCTGTACTGAGGAAAGTTACGAGCTTATTTCCGCTGTGATTTATACTTCCCAATCCAAAATTTCCGATTTATTTGTTGTTTGTTGTTTTAGTTTCTCTCCATGTTAACGTTGAAATCTCCCGTAATTATTACGTAATATATATTCTCTAGGTCTCTGACTCGTGTAATGTCTTCATAATCCTCTCTACCATCTATAGAAGTTGATGCATAACAGTGGATAAGTTGAATGCTGTATGGACGATTTAGTTTTAGTACCGGATACACAAACGTGTTAGAAGTCGCTTAGAATTTAGTTAGTCAATAAGTTTTCCATTCTCTACCATGAAACTTACATCTGCTATATCTTATTTATTTCCTGAACTCTATTGGTACAAAGGTGTGCCTTGATTTTAGTTGATTCTTTGCCTGCAAGCCTTGTCTCGTGTAAGCCTAAATTGTCTTACTTTATGGCCTTTAAGTTCTTACAACTCTTCTAGGTTATCTTCTGTTCTCATCGTTCTGATATTATATGTTCCGACGTATATTGTGTTTGTGTACTCAGCAATTTTTTAGTAATTTATATTTCTTAAATTAATTTCATAGAACGATGTTGACTTAAATATACAACTTGAGATATAAAAATGCAGTTTTTCTAATTAAATAAATTTTAATGATGCCTTTAAATATTGGCTGTCTTGTTTCGGTACAATTAATGTGATAAAATATGCAGCATCAATATATCTCTTGCTATGACTTGAATATATGCAAATTTATCACCAACTTAGATTGGAATATGCTCAAATGTAATTATGAACGTGGTTACTGGCTTGAATTTGCGCTTGGTTCATATTATTCCTGTCTTTGGAGGAAAAATATAGCGATTCATATTAGCAACGTGGGAAAACTACAGTTGCTAATATCTTTATGGTTATATCGAAATTAGAATTTAGTATGTAGGAAATGATAATTAACTTAAGCGTGTAATATAGTTTTGTTGCTAAGAAACTGAATATCTTTATGAGTTAATTATTTACAATGATGTAATAAAACAGTTTACGTAATCTTGGATATGATAATCTTTTAATCGTCAAGTATCAGCTGCTTTTCTGGCTTACACTATATTTTTAAAAAAGATACGCGTTTAAAGACGTTTTCCTCCATTTTTCATAACTTACCTTTAGTTCTAAAATTCGTCGTACCTACTCTTAATATATATTTAATAAAGAACACATGAGCCCAAAAGAGCACAAAGGGAAGATCAGAATCCCCCCTGCCGACCTCTGACTACCTCTGAAACTTGTAATGTTTTTAATTTTTTGGTCATAACTGCCCTTAAATTTGGATTCTGTTGTACCATATGTCTCTGGCATCTTGTATACTGATAAACAGATCGAACGACAATATTAGAAAACATACAATACCGCTATTTAATTCAAACTAAAATCCTTTAAAAATAAGCCGTACATAATGCCTGATGGGAATATGAGTTATGGTAGAATGAAACGGACATTTGTTTTGACAATTTCCACTTCGGAAATCTTCGACGATTTCCGAAGTGGAAATTGAAACGTCAATAAACGTAATTTAACCTTTAATTGTGGCTTATTCTCATTTAAGTAGTAATTAATTATACTTTATAATAATTGTCTTACTGAAGGGATTTTTTCAGATGTATTAAAAGTAACAAAAGTGGTAACTCTGTTCAAAACGGGAGCTTGAGATGAAATTGAAAATTATCGTCCGATCTCAATCATTACAATTTTCGGCAAAATTTTTAAGAGTATTCTAAATGTTCGTTTGATAAAATATCTAGAAAAACACAAAATACTTCACTGTAATCAATATGACTTTAGAAAAAAATGTAGCTAGCTATACAGAAAATTATAAGGGATATGGCTTGGAGGAAGGTCATTTTGTGCTTTGACATTGTGTGATTTATCCAAAGATTTTGACTTTGATTCGCATGAATTACTGTGGGAAAAAATGCATAAGTGCGGTATTATGGGAAACACTTTTAATCTATTTAGATCATACTTAACAAGTAGAAAACAGACGGTTTTTTTAATAACAGCTAGTTTGAGTTTACCACTGTCAAATATGGAGTTCCTCAAGCTTCGATATTAGAACCCACCTTGTTTTTTATTTATCTGAACGATTTATTTCATTAAACTTTTGATTGGAGGTACTCGATTGATTTTCTGTAACATTTGTTTGACATTTGTTGACAAAGTAATTCATATCCCTAGCAACGGTGCAACACAATTGCGATTTTTGTGCTAAAAATTACAATTTTCTTTGAAATTATATTTTTCACCTGAACTTGAAGTCTTGCTATAGAAAAAAATGTTGTATTGCACACGACGATATTATCTTTTCGAGCATAATTAGCGTCTCGACTGACGTCTCGACAATAGGACAATAGTACAATATTGTACAATTGTACAATAAATAACTATTTGTATATTGACTAAATAAATTCTGTTTTATTCTAGTAACTATGTAGTAGTGCTCCTCTGTAGCTATAACAAAAACAAAAAACATATCAATTTTTTCTTTTTTTTACAGTATCAAATAAAATTTTATACTAACTCAATCTTATATTTATTACATTAATAATTATTTTATTAATAGTAAGATATCTTGACGTTCTCGAAATAAATGAACAGGATGAAAATTTAATTAGCGGCGAACGTTCAACGTTAAATGAACTTCATAATGAGAACGTATCATTATGAATCTTATATAACTATAAATATATCTGTAACGAACTTGTTAAAATGAACAATTTCTTCATTCAGGTATAGTTACAGTTACTTTGAAACTTTGATTAATTAAAATCTTATATCGGATAATTTATTTTCTGTAATATGATATTAAGTTCGAATAATAAATTCGGTTTTTATTCAATAAGTAAAATACATTGGTGTATCAATAGAATTACATCTTAATAAGGAAATTGAGTCTTTCACATTCATAGGAAGAGTTATTAAGACCAACGGTTAACGGTTTAACAAATTAGCAAACCTCTTAACTCCCTATTTTGGTGAAAACCACTTTTTAATGCAAGCTCAAAAGAAATCAATTCTCTACAGACTGACAAATCTCCGAATTTCAGAGAAAATTATTCTGTGTTGTATTAAACAATTAGCGTACCTCTTAACTCGAGTCTGTCGTTTTCATGTTGGCACAACTTCTAATTCCCAGTTGGGTAATTCCAGCAATAATCGACACAAGTCGGTGGGGTCACCCTCTTCGATTTGCCTGAAATTTTACACACATATTGTACTAGACAAAAAAACATGATTGTCAAATTTTCAGACCTTAATATTCAAAATGGCGGCCGTGGCGCGCTATTGAAGTTTCACGCTTTTTATCAATTTTTTTTCGTACTTCGTCGATTTTTTTTTGTACAGCGAGCTAAATATGCTTAAACAAATATCCACTATATGTTTTTCAATGTACAATTTCTCGCTGAACACGATCCCGGAGTCAGAATTGCCTTATGACGTCATGTAAAGCAACAAAATGCGAACCAAAGCGATTTTTTTGAAAAATTCATATCTCAAAAACACCCTCTTTAATTTTTTTCAAATTTTTACAAAAGACGCCTTAACACAATTACTTTCGAATAGAAGTTGTCTCAGAAATCCTTTTTGTATGTTTGAAGCCGCTGCGTCCTATAAAATTAAAAAACGCGATTTTCCCGCCTTTTTTAGCATTTTACTTCGTTTTTCAGCTTCGAAATAACTTTTAGAGTTCTTCTGATAACGAATTCGAATTCTACAGAAAATTTTACACAAATAATGACTATTTTGAATTTATTTACCACCGTTTTTACCATTTTATAGGGGGCGACACAATATTAAACGCAAAATTGCGCGCTGTAATCAATACATTTTTTGCGCTAGGATTCTATTATTATACATATTATAATATTTGTTTGTATATATACACAAGGGTGTGTGTGTACATATATATATATATATATATATATATATATATATATATATATATAAAGTAGTTAGGTATTATTGACTGACACGTTATGTAAAATAAAGTTTTATTTTGAGGATGCAGTCATTTAAGTAGGGCAGGATAAGTAAAACTCTTTGTTCTTAAATCAAGCTTTCGCAAAATTTATTTGCTTCATCAGGATATGCTAAAATATGTTATGGTAAATACAATGAAATTAGAATTAAGAAAAACATTGTTTAAAACTATATAAAAACTTACAACATGAGGTTAAACCATTAAATTATTAAATTCACAAAACATTATTAATTTTTCCTAAATTATATTTTTATGCAAGTACAATATTTTAATTTTTAATATATTATGACATTGATTAATAATGATGTTTGATATATGTCAGAAAGACACACTGTATATAATGATACATAAAATATCATAAATATAATAAAAACTAAATCACCTATTAGCATTATGGAAAGCTCAAATGTAGTTTATAGAATACCATGCCAAAATTGTGATAAGTCATACATCGGACACACATCTAGAAATCTAATAGGTAGACTAACATCACATAAAAGTGACCTTAGAAATAATAAAAATACGTGTGCATTAATAGATCATGCAATTAATAATAATCATTCATTTAATTTTAATGAAACTAATATATTAAGACGTGAAAACCAATTAAATAAAAGAGAATTTTTAGAAATGGTATGCATAAATAAATATCAATGCGTTAATAAAAAAACTGATATTAACAAACTCAGCAATATCTATAATTACATTCTATCTTACGAAAATTAATACTTTAATTTTCTAATATATGATTTTCTGACTATAAATACTATATTTTCAAAAATTTAAATATTCATATTTGGCGCCACTTTTTACGTAAGCATAATAACAATCTAGAGCTAATTATCAATAATAAAAACAGACACGAGTGTCTTTCTGACATATATCAAACATCATGTTTTGTGAATTTAATAATTTAATGGTTTAACCTCATGTTGTAAGTTTTTATATAGTTTTATACAATGTTTTTCTTAATTCTAATTTCATTGTATTTACCATAACATATTTTAGCATATCCTGATGAAGCAAATAAATTTTGCGAAAGCTTGATTTAAGAACAAAGAGTTTTACTTATCCTGCCCTACTTAAATGACTGCATCCTCAAAATAAAACTTTATTTTATATATATATATATATAATATATATATATATATATATATATATATATATATATATATATATATATATATATATATATATTGTTATGATATGTAAAATCGAGAAAAATATTGGTGTGTTTAAAATTCTTCAAAGTTCAAAAAACATTAAAATAATTCAAATAAGTAGGATAATAACTAACAAACATTTCGAAGAAGGAAAGTATTTAAATTTTTTTGGATTACCTGTATTAAACAAAATGTAAGCTACGCATAAATTATTTCCTTTGTTATACTATACTTGAGTGACCCGCATAATTTTAAGTGAAATCCCAAAGACAATTGAACCGGGTTTTTCCAAATACATTATTGCAGTGATTAAAGACAATAGAAGAGATTTTAGAAAGAGGTTTTTGTTAGTTTTTAAGAATTGTAGAAAAATATTATTTGTAAATAAGTTTTAGGAAATTTTATAATTATAGGTAAAAATTTGTTTGTTATCGGAATGAAAAAATGGGGAATTGTGACGAGTTTTGATTGGCGGAGATTAAAAAAGGTGGGATAGGTATGTAGGAATTAAAATTTTAGCTAGATTTAGGAGAGAGAAAAGATAATCAGTTGGTTTCCAAGGGTGCAAGGCGAACGGCCGTTGTTCTCGGGTAGTTTCCCAGAGGTAGGAAGCAGTAGCAGTGAAAGTTTGTGAGTTTTCGTGTAGCTAGTGTATCTGACAGAAGCTGATCCAGTAAAATATTGTAAGTCATATTTTTCTACTTATATTCCAAGAGTCACTGTTCAGGCCAACGAGAGATTCAGTTTATCGTAAAGAAAAGATATTCCAAGAGTCATTTTTCACTCAGCCCAACGAGAGATTCAGTTTATTGAGAGAAGAAGAAGCTAGCATAATTTTAACGATTCGTGCATTTGAAGGAGGTCATTAAGGACGAGATATTTGCAATAATTTATTGTAAGATTGCTGATTACTTAGGGAGCGGCCACGAGTAAATAGTATAGTCTACAAATAACAAGGATTTGGACCACTCATCATCAGAGAGAGATAGTTTTGTTTTCTGCAGTTTTTCTTTCATTGATAACACAATTTTTACACTTAATTTAGAAAGGATATAAATATTTTGATTAGGAGATTTAGAGTAATACTTGGATTTTGAGATTTCAACTAATATTGTTTGTACCATTAATTTTGAAGGTTCACGTACGTAGAACAAAATTTTGAGAATCATTATATGAGATTTTGTTTATCGAAAACATTTGAGTGTGAATATTATTTCATTATTTTTATTTCAATATATAGTGTTATATCATATGTGTTTTTTATTATTCCGGTATTCTTTGGACCTTACCTTTCACATGTAATAGCATAGATATTGAAGCACGAATTTAACCCTGAGATAAGAGAATTAAAAAGTGTGATAGAGTCATAATAATATCATTTAAATAATTTTAATTAATCAATTAATTAATTAGCTAATTATTGCTTGGCGCACCAAGACTTTAAATATCACAATAACTGGCTTCCAAAACGTGGGGCTTGAAAATATCACAGCTTTACATGTGAAGGAAGGGAAAGAGATCTGGAATAAGTACAGGTGATCCAGAGATAAAAACATATAACATTGAGGGAATTTGAATTTGAAAGTATTTTGAAAATTTTTCATTATTTTTATTTCAATATATAGTGTTACATCATATGTGTTTTTTATTATTCCGGTATTCTTTGGACCTTACCTTTCACATGTAATAGCATAGATATTGAAGCACGAATTTAACCCTGAGATAAGAGAATTAAAAATTGTGATAGAGTCATAATCATATCATTTAAATAATTTTAATTAATCAATTAATTAATTAGCTAATTATTGCTTGGCGCACCAAGACTTTAAATATCACAATATTATATATATATATATATATATATATATATATATATATATATATATATATATATATATATATATAAAATAAAGTTTTATTTTGAGGATGCAGTCATTTAAGTAGGGCAGGATAAGGAAAACTCTTTGTTCTTAAATCAAGCTTTCGCAAAATTTATTTGCTTCATCAGGATATGCTAAAATATGTTATGGTAAATACAATGAAATTAGAATTAAGAAAAACATTGTATAAAACTATATAAAAACTTACAACATGAGGTTAAACCATTAAATTATTAAATTCACAAAACATTAATTTTTCTAAATTATATTTTTATGCAAGTACAATATTTTAAATTTAAATATATTATGACATTGATTAATAATGATGTTTGATATATGTCAGAAAGACACTCGTGTCTGTTTTTATTATTGATAATTAGCTCTAGATTGTTATTATGCTTACGTAAAAAGTGGCGCCAAATGTGAATATTTAAATTTTTGAAAATATAGTATTTATAGTAGGAAAATCATATAAGTATTAGAAAATTAAAGTATTAATTTTCGTAAGATATAATGTAATTATAGATATTGCTGAGTTTGTTAATATCAGTTTTTTTATTAACGCATTGATATTTATTTATGCATACCATTTCTAAAAATTCTCTTTTATTTAATTGGTTTTCACGTCTTAATATATTAGTT